AGAGATCTAGAAAATTATTTCCATGACTCTCTACTACTGTCTAACTACAACATATCTAGTCACAGTATCATGATACATTTGTCTGCCTGCAACAACACCCCTGTAGAATCCATTCGGCCCCTTCGCATCCCCGAGATCCCGAATGCAACAGCAATTTGTTTTATCCCTCAAACATACTCCGTAGTTACCTACTAGATGAATCCTGGTGGATATCTCGGTAGGGATCTATCTCTACCAGACTACTCCACCAAAGCGGATACGGACTAGTTCCCTGCTCTGCATAGTTATTGAGTAACCGATTTCGATTCATATCCAACGTTGCACTCTGTCTAGAACAATATCGCCACTGGTAGCAAATCAAAATATCAGTCGACAGCTCCGTGGGGGTACCGGGTCCAGAGGAGTCCTTGGTTAACTAGTGTGTTAGTATTAGTGTGTTAGTTTAGTGTACATGGCTCTGGCCCTGGCCCTGGCCCTGGAAAGGCCTTGTGGCGAACAGGAAAATTTCTCTCTTTTTTTTTGAACAAGGGTCTGTTTGCCTTTGCCGCTTCTCGAGACGAGACGAGACCTTGGTGAGACACCTGCGTACCAGGGAGTTTGTGTAGGTTTGCTTGATTGTATACGGGGTTGGGTTGGGTTGGAAGGTACGTACAAGGTACTTGGGATTCATTGGCATAGAGATATATATACGACGCAGCCAATCAGAATCGAGGAATGGAGGGGAAATGCCAGGAAGTAGATTTAATTCGAATATCTGGCCCAAACCACTGAAATAAATGAATTAAAAGAGCATTCGATCGGACGAGTATCCCACGGCATTGTACGTAGTGCCAAATATCGACATCCTTCTATTCGACTATCGCCTGCAGCCCGAAACCGGTTTTCTATTGGGTTGTCAGGCTACTGTAAGGCTCTCAAACTACAGGCGGATACCATTTCCGATTTGAAATAGAATGGATTACTACAACCTCTCCTCCTGATTGTCTGCCGTTTTACCTCCCCTTTTCGTTTTCGCGGAGATCTCTTTCCCTGAATATTCAAACGGAGTCTCCGGACTTTTGGGCCTAGACACTGATGCAGATCCATACAGGGGGGGGGCAGGGGGAAGAGGGGGGAACAAAGCCGTCCGAGAGTGGGGAGATTAAACCCCGGTGAACGTGTGGAATGTGAAAGGGCCGGTAGATCCCGCCTCCAGAAGGATCACCAATTTATTTCCAGCCGGAGGAGAATAAGGACACAAAGACCCGGCCTGTCGGGCCTTTTCCCGGCGGACTGGATGGTATGTATGTATGTACCTGCGCACTATTCCGGACGCTACTACTCTATACTACTCTATAATCTATGTAGGTGGACGCAAAAAGCCTCATATTACTTCGAGCCGAGGTGATCTACGATTTATCTCGTATACTAGTAACAATATAAGTGCCTCCGTGGGCGTTTCCTCGTGTTTTTCTCGTGTTTCATGGGGTCGCCCCTCCCGCATGCAAGTCACAAAACTAACTACGCAAACTGGGCGTTGTGCTAGCCTTCAAAACGGGGTCTGGTTTGACTAGTTGTCTCCAATACCCCCCAATCGTGGAGGCTTGACGGGGTCCCGAGAGTTGTTCATCTCGCTTCTACCGAGTACCATCTGAGACTTTAATTTACTGATCCTAGCCTAGCTACTCCGTAGTTAGTGATGTATACTAGTATTCATTTTATCTCCCTCCAATCGATCTACCAAATCACAAAGTGGCGCTCCCGTCCTGCGATGGGGCCCAACTTCCCGAGTCGCCATGCAATAACTATAATATACTAGTATTAAGTAAGTAAGGTTGGACTCCGTGCTCCGTACCCTGTAACTCCGTAGAACATCCGCCCGGCGAATGCAAATCCAGACTTCGGACGATGATCAGGACTGGAAATGGCATTGGGCGGGCGTACCGGAGTTTCAAGTTCGCTTAACGGGGCAGCTACTCCCGTGGGCGCATATACATTCCCTGGCAAGACTAGGATCTAATCTAATCGCTTGCTGGGGTATATTGTATGTATCAGGATATGGATGGGCTGAGACGGAATATGAGCGATGGTGATTGGTTCAATCTTGCGTGTATATGGTGGAAGACTCAAATTCGATGGAACATGCAATCAGAAAACGAAACAGGCTGATTCACCGAATCGAGAAATCAAATAAGGCATGATATCCAGCGACTGCCCAATCCAAGCCAAGCCTTTTTTCCTCGTATCAGGCTACTCGGCCTTGATTTTTCTCCAGGGGCAGGCAATAGATGGAGGACATCATACGAGCGACATCGAAGCACAGCAGTATTTTTGAAACCTATTTTGCAACAAGCGCAATACCGGAGCAGAGAGAAATAGGACAAGAACTGCAAGCCTCAAGGGTTGGAAGGGAAGAGCTATGCGCAACTATTTCCGCTTGTGGGTTGATCGGCTATGGACTCATTTCCTGATTACAATCTAATAGTTATAGTTGGTATAGGAGAGTAAATAAGTACTCCGTACTCCGTAATAAGCTCCGCTGTGAGATCCCTAGGGTCGGTCCTAAGAGTCGGTGTGGGGGTATTCTCTAACGGCGATCTAAGGGGGATTAGGAGGATGGACCCACCCAAGCTGGACTGCCGTGTGAATATTCAGAGCTCGATACATAATAGTTCGCTAGAACTAGGAATAGGATGTGTAGTTATCATGGATATCCTTATGTTGTATATTGTATATGGTGTATGGCTACTGAGGTTCTGGATAGGAAAATAGAAGACGACACAGAATGTTAACTATATAGCTAGTGTCGGAGTTAGGACATAGGCTATTTCCTATTCCGCACTCCGGAGTACTCCGTAAAGCAAAAGTAATTAATTAGTAGGCGCCGTTGCACGGAGTCTGGCTTGCCGGTGTTGACGCGGGGTGGAGACGTCAGCTTTTAACTTCTTTCCTAAAGGGGTATGTAGTGTGTAAGAACCCCTGGTCGGGTATTTATCTGAATCGGGGTTATTTCTAACCTATCGAAAGGAAGTATGTAAATGATATACGTACTTGCATTCTATAATATACTGTATACTCTATACGGTAACTACAATATATACTATATACTGTATACTCACTATGTATGTGTATCCAAAGTCAGGAGCTTGGGCCTTCGGGAGCACCGGGGTACACGGCACAGAACCTGGTAGGTGCGGGTATGGTATTGTCACAACGCTTGACATTGCGGACGCTATGGACCGTTCCCGAAGGTCCACTGGACCCCGGTACTGGTGTATTGGAACGGTAATCCAGTATATTATCGTACTGAATAATCGACCGAACCACATTGGCCCAAAAGCAAACAGGAAAGAAACACTTGGCAAATCCACAATGTAACCTGTCGAAGACAATTCGAAACTCACCTCTTAGCCGGTGAGTTTCTGGTTCCATGTGGTCCCCGACAAGACCTGCACCGTCTACATCGGGCATGGTAAGAAAAGAGGAGTCCAAGGAGAAGTGGAGTATCCAGTTCGATTCCATTATACATAATGTGAGAATCCCCAACTCATGACATATTCCGTCTGGAGTCAGACTAGCCTGATCCATGAGACCTCAGAAACAAGCTTTGTGGAATGGGGTAGAGGACGCGTTCATCTCAGATCGGGGTCTATCCAATGAGTTGGACGCGAGGTCGTTTCCGAATCGAGGTGATGTCCAGGTACAATGAAGCCGTGGGTCGGACCTTGAAATGGTAAGTTGGATACGAGCGATCGACGGATTTCAGTCCGTTCGGGTATTTTTGCGGCTCAGGCCGATCTCAAAGTTCGAATTTGGTTTTGGAAACGACAATACACCGAAAAAAACACCGAAAAAACAAATACAATTGAAATTACCGCTCGGCTAGAAAGTTTCGACATTCTAAAATTATATCTTCTGGAAAGGAGTTCGATGAACCAGAGTTCGTATTCAAGGTATGTTTGGTCTAGATTGCGCGGGATCCATAGATCAGCATCTTAAAGTGAAGCTATGTGTGCCGAGGAGATACAACATAGACATTCTGTTACATCAGATCAACCCACTCTATCTGGTTCTTCCACCCTAAGGCGTGCTAACCAGATCTGCTTCCAGATCGGATCCTCGTTTTATACGGTTTCTATCGTGACACGAAGTCGTCTTAGTACGAGTAGTACATGTCCGTCAATCAAGTCCGAATACAAACAAATCATCACCTCAGCAATAAAATACAGGACGCCATAGTTAACTAACTAGCCATCCCGCAATTCTCACAGATGCCCCAGGCACTCAGCCTAACCGCATCTGGAAACTTTAGACGAGAATACCGGCGCCTATCACAGTGCCTGGGGAAGTGTGTATCCGTATCATGTCCATATCCATATCCACCTGGGCGTACAATAACTTACTCCTATCCCGTACAGTTGATAATAATATAGTTGATCTTAGTGTACGACGCTGGTAACGGCTGCGTTTATAAGCCTTTTTTCGTGCGACGTCATCCGGGCTGGATAAAGATGTTGTACCATGTAGACCAGGTTCCTATCTAGGAATAGCTATCCTGGCACAGATACAAGATGATACCAGTCTTGCATTCCCGAGGTAAAGGCTGATCGGAGGTTTTTGGAAATGGGGGCTGATGTGGCTTGGCTGGGGAAATTGGGTAGCTAGTTAAGGCTCTCAGTAGTCAGAATGTCAGAGTCAGAATGTCGCGAGCACATGGTGAATGGCTTTTTGACCGAGGCTGGCTGGGAGGAGATTGGGCCGTTGCGATGTTGACCACCCCTCCTCGGCTTGAACATGAGCAGATACAGTAGTTACGTGATATCGGTACTTGCGTGGTACATGCAATGGCGACCTCGTGTTCCGTTATGTTAGGTATGGTTATTCGAAAAAAGACAAGACGCAGTCTGAAATATGTGCATGAATACTCTAATGTAGCTTCTCTAAGCCTTTCTATAAACCCCCTTCCAGCTACCAGCCGAGCTAGCAAGTTGGTGTTGACACAAAAGGTGAAAGTAAAAGGCCTACTCATCCGCAACGGCAACCTCAGCATCCCACTTCGGCGCGCCCATCAGACGAGCACGCTTAACAACACGCTCAATACCATCAAGACCCCGCTTCAACACATCCATCTTAGGCCCGTAGCTCAGTCGAACGAAGTGGTGACACGGGCTGTCGAAGAGATCACGACGCTTGGCCGGGTTCAAGTCGAAGAAGATACCAGGCACAACGATGACCTTCTGGGTCAGCAGCGCACTGAAGAAGTTCAGACCGTCGGAGATGTTAGCCTCCTCAGGCAGAGGGGGTTCGATGGAAGTCAGATCGAGCCAGACGTAGAAGGTCGCGCCGGGGACGTCCTGGACACGGAAACCGATATCGTACAGACGGCCCAGGACGTAATCGCGCTTCTCCATAAAGTGCTGCTGCAGCGCCTTCATCTCCGTGCGCACCAGCCACGGCTCCAGCATCGGGATCGCGGCTTCTTGGAATGGCACGTTGGCACCACCGTCGAGGTACGATCCTGCGGAACCTAGGGCGTCGACAAAATCCTTGGGTCCGACCACCCACGCAATTCGCCAGCCAGGAAGGCGGAACCGCTTTGTGAGCCCATCGATCAGGAGAACGTCTGTGGGTCCGGTTAGCCCATGATCAAAAATTAGGTTTTCGGCGCGGGTATCGTACCATCCTTGTTAACGTCGACAACGTTCGATGCACCACTGATTGTTGTTCCGTCGCAGCCCGTTGTGTAGTTGTATCCGCCGTAGAACTCGTCCAGAATCAGAGTCGCGCGGTCACGGCAGAGGTCCTGAATTTGTTGCAGCTCGTCTTGCGGCATGAAGTGGCCTGTGGGGTTACGGGGATTGGAGGTCAGCAGCACCTGGGTACCACGGGCGATTTCCTCGGCGATCTTGTTGGGGTGGATGTGGTAGTGGTCCTCCTTGGAAAGAGGAAGGGGGATGGGCGCAATCTGCAGGGAATCAGTAAACGGCAACATTTCGGGCTCAGCTCTTCTAACGCACGTTCTTGAACAGAGACAACATCTCCGAGTACGCAGAGTAATCGGGGATGGGGAAGGACAGATACGAGTTTCCGAGAATGGCAGCAATGCGAATCAGACCCGCGCGGCCACCTGGGACAATGCAGACATTCTCCCAGGTATACTGACTCTCCTTGCCCTGGCGGTAGTGGTCGTTGTACAGACGAGCGACGGCCGCGCGTAATGGCTTGATACCGGCGGTCGGGCCATATTCCCGGGAAGCGGATGTGATGGGAATAGCAGTTGGGCGAGGGAAACTTCCCTCGATGCCGTCGTCAGCCTCGGGGGCTCCCTGACCTAGATTAGCCCAGCTGGAAGGATCATCGGCGTAGCCATGCTCGCAGGCTCGCTCTGTGCACCAGACGACACCGGTGGAGGCACGGGAAGCGTCGAGACCGGCGTGGGGACGGTGACCCTCGTGAGCCTCTCGAAATTGCCGATGGGTTTCTGAGTTGAGTTCTGAGGGTTTCCAAAGTTAGAAAGCTAGAAATGTCAGAAACGTGTCATTGCATACCGTTATCCGACAGTTCCTTCTTGGCCGAGGGATTGCGGTTCTCGGACGGGCGTAGGATGCTCAGGCGGCGGCCGGAGAACGACATTCTTGCGAGTGTTCTGGTTTGATTATAAAAATGATTACAGCGCCTTTCTTATAAGAAAAATAGGGAACTCTCGGAAGTGGGAGGGGCAAAAGTGAAGAAAAAAGTCATCTGCAGCGAGCCGGGTCTCTTTTATAGAAGGACGCAAAGGCCGCTTGCCAACACATACTAGGACGAGCACACCGACTCGACTCCTATTCATAATTCCCTCAATCCTCAGGGGCAACAGGCGCTCCGCGCATATATTAATAGCGCAGACCAATACGGTGTGATCTTGAGATATTTCCTATTTAGTCTTTTAGTGGGCGATCTTCCGAATAGTAGCCGGGAGTGCCGGAACTACGTTTCGGGTATCATATTCAGCTGCTACTATAAATATAGCTATTCCCATACAGAGCTATAGCACAGAGCTATAGCTACTCCGTATACATCGTAGCTGTACGGAGTAGACTAACCTGGCCTTGCCAAGAATATCGGCTATCCGACCTGCTCCGGCATCCCGATCTGATAGGCATCCCGATACGGATTATAGGTCTGGTATAGATTCCACCGGAAATATAAAAAAATAGGCATATACATCATATGGAAGCTTCGTACGTTCGTGGACATTGAGATACTAGTAGATCAGTAAAGAGATAACAATCCGCGAAATGGGAACGCAAAATCAGAATAAAAAAAGAAACGGGACGTCTTTATCCCTTCACCTCGTCACCAGGACATCATTCATGCCGTAAACAAATCATTAGATGCTCGCCTGGAGACGCCACAGTCCAACTACATGTTTGCCACGGCGTGGCTCGCTGAAAGTCACAAAGAAGAAGGGGAGATAGAAAGAAGTATCTCCCCCGAGAACGGCTGCTCAACAGTTTCAGGCCAAATCCAGTTGGGTAATAAGGGTCAGGATGGGAGAACGAGCGCCACAGGCGATGCAAAGCATTGAAACGACGAGGATCAATCCTCGCCGGGGGGAATCAAGGGAGGGTATTAAGTCAAGAATGAGCGGAAAGCAAACAAGAAAACGAAGGATCTAATCGACCACCTGGCAGTAGAGTTGAATCTCTCCCACCAAGCCCTTGGCGAGCATATCACGATGTTGTTCCCGCCATTCCAGGAAAGCGAGCTGGACCGCCTCGTCGCTATCGATCGTGACGAAATCACCGTCTTCATCCCGGTAGCGCAGCCGGACACTTTTGCTCCCGATGGATCGATCAGTGAACCGAGCGAGTTTGGCATCCACGCGGTCCGTCAATGACCGGAACATAATGTTGGTCGCAATTACCAGCGTGACATAGTTGTCCTCAAAATTCACCTTGGCCTTGAGTTGAGTGGGCATGTAGTCTCCTTCCTCTGGCTCTTGGGTCAGGGGCGATGTGGCAGGATCCGAGATTTGCCCAGAATTGCGGGTATCATTATATTCCGGCTCGTTAAAGTGCGTCGTGTGGAGTTGGGGCTGGGTACGAATGGGGAGCTGGGTGTTGGTGGGCGAACCGTTCTGGCTGCGGTTGACGGGGGTTATCATGTTGGCCATGTGCGCAGGGATCGGGGGCACGGGGACATTGTCGACGGTCTGCATAGTGTGCACTCCCATATAACGCCGTGACTCCGGATTGTTACTGTGATGATGAATATCAGGGCTACTAGCCGATCGCATTCGCTGGGCCATGCCATTTGCGTGAGACTGCGAGGCTGAGAGTGGAGGCAATGACGGACGCTGAGCACCTCTTGGAATAGGTTGAGGTGGGAAATATCCGCCAGAGGTTGTTCCGTCCCGCGATGTTACACGAGACAACGCTGGTGCTGTGTAGCGAAGGGTATCCTCATTCCAGACCGATGATTGAGTGGTGGAATTGGTATTCTGACGACTGAAGGAGAACCCTGCGGATTGAGAACTCGATCTTGTGGAAGGAGTCTCAGTCGTGGGGGAAAAGTAGGAGCTTACGTTTCGATCACCGGGGGACATGCTTCCGCCCCCGGGGAACTGAGTGTGCAGCGCAATCGTTGGATCGGTTCCCGCATAGCGCGGTCGGGTATTGGGGTGAGCAGCAGAGATGGAGCTGCCATTGGTGGCAGATCGGTTTCTCAGACTAGTACTGGACGGATTTCGGCTCATGGGGAATTCGGATTGATATGGATCTTTGTTGCTGGCATCATCGGTATCATACTCTTGTTGATAGGGGTTGGGAATGTGCGGCATGCCCTCCATGTACGTGAACTCGCTGTCGGATGTACCAGTATTGCGCATAGTGCGTCGCTCCGCTTGAATCACCCGTTGGGTGTCAATGTCCTTGTACCAAGTCCGCATGGTGTTCTCGTTAATATATCGGATGATAAAATTGTCAACGACACCAGGGTCTCCTTTCCAGAAAATCTGAATACGATAGAGTCCTGTGTGAACCGATTAGAGGTATTTTTCTTAACTTAAGAAGCCAAGAGTGATCCTTACCAGGCTTTTGAAGACAAACAATATCTGTGACGTTGGCCATGTAGATTCGACCTTTCAGTTGAAGACGAGCCTTTCCTTTCGCATTCAAAGACGGCTTATCTTTTTGCATCATAAGCTTAGACTTTTGCTTGTTGGGATTGATATCTTTGCAACAGAGAAGTATTCGCTCGAAGAGATAGATATGGTACTAAAAGCCATGTTAGTGACGTGCCATTTCGGGAAACAAACCATAGGATCAGACAGTACCTCTCTTTCGCTATCCTTACCACTGTCTCCCTTGACAACTTGGAAGGTACCAAATCGAAGAAGATCTCCGAATGACTCCATTTTCAATGCTTTCCAGTCATCCACGCGCTCGGATAAATCAAGTACCGCCGCAGTCAAATGTTCTTTGTGGATTGCCTCGTTAGCAAAGTCCAACACAGTCTGGATGCAATTGACTGCACGCGTGATATCGGCCTGCAGTTGCTCGTCTTCTAATTGTTTGCGTAGCTCCTGAAAAGGTACAGCTATATTAGCTCGTTGGTCTTGGACCTAGCATTCAGCAAACTTACCAAAAGCATCAGCGGGTATCGAGTCAAACGCTGGAAGGGTTTCACAAAGAATCCATTGAGCGTTTTCGGCTGAGCGACCATTTGCTGCAGATCTATATGGCGTGGCGCACTTTGGATTTTGTCCCAGTCCTTCATACAAGCTTCATCACAACGCATCTGGTTGGCAATGAAAGGCTCATACTGCCGGAAAGCATCTTCATGCAGGAAGAAAAGGTGACCCCAGTTCTGCATTTCTTCTGGCAGGGCGTAGTGCTGCTCCATGCGAATCAGGAATCGTTGGGCAAAGTCTAGTAGGTTGTTTAAATTGAGGAAAATCTGATGGCTCGCATCACCTGTCAAAGCACCTGTCTCTTCCAGTTCCTTCTTGAGCGCTTGGAGATTCTGCAGGTGATGAACATAATCACGCTCCGTCTCCAAAAGTTCCTTGAGGATATGCTCTCGCTTGGTAAGCTTCACATTGGTTTTCGCGCTGGGAGCCTCTAGAACTTCGGATTGCTTTAGTTGACCTTGCATCTCGAGTATGTCTACCACGCGGTTGACCATTTTGATCACTTTGATGAATCCAGTGGTACTCTCGCCGTAAAGGTCGGTGATCAAAAAGCAATCCTGCTGAGGGAATGCCAGCTCTTGTAAACAGGCCTGTAGGAACTTGAATGTCGCCGCTTTGGGACGCTTCGCCTCAGTTACCTTCCCAGTATCAATTTCCAGCGGCTCGTCGGGACCAGATGCATTATAGATGCTCAATAGTGGATAGCCATTTCTGAGACAATTCCACAAGGAAGCCACCGGATCTGTATTTCCTCTTATGCGATCATCATCATCCATCTCTTGCAAGTATGACTCAAAATTGGGAACTTCGGATAGCCGTCGCCTCAGATTGACACAGCTCTGGTAGATCGATTCGCCACCACGGCGGTTGATGATGTTATCCTCGGCGACCGGAGCGCCGCTCATGGCTGAAGAGTCAATCATATCTTTCCTCGGGGGCCAGATATAGATGAGTTAGACCAGCCAGGCTCAACTTAAATCTGCACAGCAGACCCAAGAGGGATAGGTTCGGAAGGATCGACGGGCGTCGGAAGTGGAGAGATGACGATCATGAGTTCCCCGGGGGCGTAAGCTGCGCGGCGCAGGGGGTGTCAAACGAGAGTTTCGAAATTCCGACAGCGATCCGATCAGTTGTCGTAGGTGTGATTTTTGAAATATACAGATCCCGGGAAGCGCTCTCGAGATCAGAGATACCTATATATTTGTTCGAACCAATAGCGCGAATATCAAGTACGATGCACCGTAACTTGAAAAGGAGGGGCTCGAGGAGTATAATCCGACCTTCAGCCAGCCCCAATCGATGGGGTTTGGGGATTCGAGTGTTTAAAGGACCGCTGCAGCCGGGCAGGCGAGTCAGATCAGGTAAAAGAGAATTTGGAGGAACACCTTTGCGAAAGGGCCAGTCACTAGGACACGACGGAGGACAATCGAAGTCCCGAGAAAAAGGGGGCGCACGGAATAATAGGATAAGAGAAGCCAGAACAAGAAGGGCTCGGTAGTTAGATGAAGTCAATAACCAGAACGACAGGAGCAAGCACAACAGCTGAGAGTTCTGCTGATGGAACAGAGGAATAGGGATCCTTGGGGCCGAAGGAGTCTGGTCAGTTTCCTCAAAAGGTTTAGCGTGTGTTTTATGGGGCGGTGTGGTGTGGAGAGGGGCAGCTGTGTCAGCAGCCCTCCACCTCCCAAGGTTGGGGGTCAGGGCTGGGCAGCCTAGGCCCTGGGACAAGGCTGGGAACTGGAGGGCTGGTGATTTGGAGCTGGAGAGAGCTAGGGCTGGAGAAGAGAGCTAGTGATGCTGGAGTAGTTATGTACATTCGTACCTTTTGTAGGGGGCTTGCATACAAAAGGTACATTCACTGAGATATATACTTACACCTGCACTATTACAACCTTTCTGCCCTCAAACGTTAGTATCCCCTGTCTTTAGCGCCTAGGAATGGTCCGTGCAATTATAA